AAGATTGACACCGCGGGGATGGGAGAGGATTATTGTCAGGCGACTAAAATTACTCGTCGGTGGGAGGGACTTTAACTCCATGATCATTTGAGTGATTCTTAGATCCAGTAGCAGTAAACTCATACTCGAATACGGTGTCTTATAGTCTATTCGTTGCCAAAAAAACTATAAACGTGTAACATGCCCCGCGACTTTGACGGCAACAATGTCTCGCAACGCAAAAATTGCTGCAAAACATCAAAAAGTTTGAACTTTTCTCTGCAATATTTTCGAAATAGGCCTTTCCCGAATTCGCTTGACTGATCACGAAACAATGGTTTCAAGTCGAGGTTAACTTGATGAATCAAAGAATCAAGTTCTGTCTCGACTTCAAACCATTGTTTCGTGGAATTGGCATAACACTCGAGAAGTGTCGAGAAGCAATCCGCTACGCGTCGTGCTCCTCCTAACACTTCTCTCGTGTTCTACCAGTCCCTGCGTGCTTTATAACTGCACACAGCACGCGCGTGCGTTTTCTATTGCTTCAAAAACGTACTCCTGATACAAGTGCAATATGTTTCCCACTTCCAAATGTTTTGTAACCTAAAACGTAGACGATTACATTTAATTCTAATTTGTCAAAAGACGGGCAACCAAAATTTGACATACACCTCAAAATTCTTGTTAATTTATTGTAAGGAAGTACCTTTCTTGACTCTTTGTTTTTTCTTCCTCCATAATTTCAGCAACACAGTCGGAAAACTGGATCCAAAGTCTTTTTTCCTAAGAAAAAATGTAACTTAGGTAATATAAAGTAGCACAATGCTAAATATCATCTTCAAGCCAGATGCCTTTCATTCCATTTATTGTTGTGTTTTTATAAAACACAACAATTTTAAAAATTATTTTATGCTCGCGCGCAAAGAACGAAGTTTAACAAATTACAGTTTATTTCAATTTCGCTTTTAAAACTAAGAAACCAGGTCGATCAGAATGCGTTTGGGAGTTACATACCAAACACGTAGGCAATACGCCAGCATGTATGTGGGAGTTACACACCGAGAACGGAGGCAATAACCATTTACATTCCGAGGGCCGTAAATTTAACTAACGTATTCATGCGTGAGAAGATTTTCAAACACAAAATAGTCCCTGTTGATTTTTTCTGATCACACAGATTGTTAGGCAATCTTTCCAAGCATCAGGATTTTGAGGTTTAAAGTTTACAAACTAGATTTTGAATGATTTTTTAAAAGCAATTTTATTCGAGGGGTACGATGAGAGTTTCATCCCTTGTCTGTATATTTTACAGGTAGCTTATAACGCTATCCAATTAACGGAACACAAAAATATATCCCTCCGTGCGAGAATCTGAACCAAATATTCAAGTTCGAGCAAGTATGATCATAAAAATGAGCTTAAATTTGTGTTGTTGAGAGATGTTATCATATAAAGACTCAAGCATGCTTTCACTTTAAAAAGCTAAAAAATATTCAAAAACATTTACAAACG